CAAGTATTCGGTCCTATTAATCTGATAAAACCAATCACGGAATGTTCAGTTATGAAGAAACAAAATTGTTATTAAACCATCATTTGCACAATAAAACTTATAAGTCTAATGGTGTAGATTTTTTATTCAATTTAAAACAATGAAAATAAAGACTCAGAAAATATCAGAAACAACTGAATGGAATAACGATTACTGATTTGATGTATAGACGCGAATATGACAGTTAATTCAGATACATGCAAATGTATATCAAATAACAACTGCTACTAAGGTCAATTAGATTACAGATAGGCACAATAGTCAATACACAAACAGTGCTATTAGAAAATTAAACTATATAGATGAGTAGATTGTGTTTTGGCATCATAAAAATACTTTCTTCGATAATAGGACAACAGATAATCCAGTTCACTCACCGTACAACACTCATTTTAATGTGGTAAGTATTATCGATTCAGACGATGATTAAAATTAATATATTCATATACTCTTAGTTCTGATTATATTCTGTTTGCCCGTATGTTTCAATACTGGACATTTTTTGTCTTCTACCTTTAATCAGTGACAATAAATATCTTCTCAGTGTACTTGTGCTGAAGATAAGAATACAAGGATTAGAAGAACATCCAAATAATATAAGTATTGTACCCATTTGCTCAATCGGAGTACCATAAGTGTAAACCACAACTTCACATATGATTAATATTTGACTTATGCATTCAAACGAGTGTAATATAGCTTGTTGACATGACATTATTGCTGTTGTAATCACCAATTGAATCACTGTACGCTTAATTTGCAAACTGGACTCCAAATTTTGTGATGAATCACTATGACGAGATGATTGAGATTTCTTAATAATATGTATGACCCATGCATGACTGATCAACATAACTAAAACTGGCACAAAGTACTCGAACACAACCCAGGAGTATACAATGTAATTAAGAAATGCTGTTGTTTGAATCCAGGGGAATGAAAAATCCATAACACATCGGCTATCAGTGTAACGACGAAGAAGTGGTGTTGGTATGTACAAAATTAAAAGCATACTGAACATGTAAAGAAAGTATAATAAGAAAAATCTATTCGTATACGTTTTGAATGATCCAAGAAATAGGACAGAACTCACTCGATCCAGTGATATACAAACTAGATTTTGCACACTCATGATGCAAAATAACCAGAAGGATGCATTTCGAAACCATAAGTGACATATCAGGATATCGATAATGTATAAGCCAGTGTGTTTGTTATAGATATTGGTGGATTGAATTATATAATAAACTGCTGCTGAGAAACATGCACCGAAGTCAAGTAAAGATTGAGTTCTTAGTAAGAATAAAGTGAATTTAGAACCTATGGTCACTCTAAAAATAACAACTATCGCAACCATGTTGAATAGTGTACCAATTATTCCTTCAATTATAACAATAATCCGGATAGGTAAAGTAACGTAAACAGTTTCATTCATTGTTCTGTTCTCTTCTTTTGATTTACTGTGAAATGAAATTCAAAATAGGATTTCTGACAATTGCATATATATATATATATATATATATATATATATATATATATATATATATATATATATATATATATATATATTTAGCCAATCAAATCTTGGTCGAAATGGTTCATTGAATATTTTTAGGGAAGAAAATATTTGTACTCAAAATCATTTGGAAAGTAAGTATGAATATTAATTGGTTTTGTCTTCATTGTATTTTAGTAGTAAGTAACGAACACCTCAATAATTATATGCAAGTCTAAGCATTAATTTCCGTGAAACATGGAGTGTTTCAAGACATGAGACTATGACGTAGTTAATCTACTGATCTAAATTAAAATCTATCTTCATATCAATAGCATACATCTATGTTTTTATCCTTAATTATTCCCTTTAAATGATGGATTCAGAGTTCTTATGGTAATGAGCGGACATATGTATATCATGAGTCGAATCATCATTAATATCTTTAGTTTTATGTATAATAACCTTAGTAACAATACTAAGCTGTTGAGCTACATTTTCCTTTACATCTTGTTTATGCTTTCTTGAAGTTGATTTATAATGGCATAAGTGTACAGACCTGGTGTTATTCGGCTGTATTAATAAACTCGTTTATGGTATTCAGCCTCTCTTTTATGGAGTAAAACAGAGTGAACGTCTGAGTAGTAAACTTGGAGACTGTATTTGTCAGCAGATTGCATTTGTGTACTTAATGTCAGAAAATAAGTTTAGATAAGTCACTAAAGTCAATTTGATATCAGACTAAGTTCGATCCCGAATATCATTTTTTTAGATTTTACATAAATTCCTTTGATTCCCTTAAACAATTTCTAAGTAGCTTGCTTCCTACCATTTCGATGCACATTTCTCATTGTTCTTGAGTGTTATGTAATATCCAACGGACAGTTTTGTTAGTTTTATTTCGTCCTCTGGTTTATTCGATAGGCTGTTTTGATTAGTGGGTCACTATGACAAACTCCCCTAGTTTTGCTTATTTTTGATAAACTTAAGAATGAATAGCACTGAATTATATCTCTCCATAAGAAGTACTATTTTCTTATAAAGATTAATAGAATATCCCTGTCTCTTAACCAGTCTGTGGTGGCATAACTTATCCAGATAATTCCATTTTAACATCAGTTTAATGACCTCTTTAAATTTCAACATAACATTTAACATAGTGTATTTTAAATTTCAAGTGTTTTCACTATCTGTCTACCTAACTCTGATATTTCAAGCTCTCTATAAATGATTCTGTTATTCTCCACAACGCGTCTAACGTTCTATATCTTTCCAATGGGTTCTGCTTGAAATAAAAAATGGGAATATACCAATTATCAGAAGGGGGTTTGTGGAGATTTTAGAAACTTTACTGGTTAAAATCATGAATTAATTGAAGCTAGATCACCATGGGAAACCTGGAAGCACTGGACGGCTGTTTCATCCTGTCATAAGAAGCCGTTACCAGTGGAGTTCAACCAGGTCTGTTGTGAGATATCAACTCACTGAAGACAGTGGTATACAGCTGTGCAACTTCGTGGATTGGTTGAAGTTAGACATTAACACCGTTGTTTTGTTTTCCAGTATGGTATTCTATTCGGTATAACATTCATCTATTTGAGTGTAATGTTTATTCAAGTCAAGATACGATATTCTTGTATTACTCTGAGGTGACATGCAACATTTGATTTGTTATAATTCTGGGTACTTTTCATATATGTGGTTTCATCTTAACTAATAATCAAAATGGGTGTACAAATCAATAAATATATCAAGTGTATTTTTGACTAGGATTGTCGTATTTTGGGTTTAATAAATCTTTACTTGTACCAATCTTGGCGTTCTTATTTCGGGTCGTGGAAATTACAATAGTCCCTCATTCTACTAGTATAAATAATAAGCGATTCCAATATAACAGTTAGCGATGACCAGAAATGACAATTAAAAGAGAATCTCTAATCAGTTAATATCAACAAAGAAGTTTCAATAACATTCATTTTAAGAGATGAGATGGTTATAAATAGGGATGGAAATTCAGTTTGCCTCATCTATTTGTTTATTCACTTATCTAAAACAGCTTAGTTCAATAAATAATCAATAATCTCAATGTCGGCCCCTATTTTATAATAGGGCAAGAAACAACACATAAAAATATGGATTATGAAAACAGGAACTTATCAACTATCAGCTCTTAACAACTGACTAACTAGATTATCAAAATCATAGCTCCATAATTTAAATGAAATCTACTATGTAAATTACATACAAGGATAACTACATAACAATATTAAGCAACATGAGAATAATTCCCAAAATGAAGTATCAGTAAATCGCGTTATCTAAGCAAAATAATCAACACTTTTTCAAGTGTCTTTGTTTTTTTTTCAAAAAAAAGAAAACCAAATAGCTAAATCTCATCACTACTACACGCCCTAATCTATCCATCATTTAAAATAACTTATTACACTGCAATCAAATAGAATATTAATAGCGAAGACCAGAAACGTGTTTATCTACAGGACAAAATCAGCCGTCATAGTAAGGAGGATAAAACTTGAGAATTACAATAAGTGGATCGTTAAAAATTGTATAATAAATATGAAATAATTGATTTACCAAGTATAAATGTATTTGTTTGAAGAGTACTGTATATGTTTTGGCTATTCAAACTGATATGACTGCAGCGAAAATGGATTTGAGATTTCTTGTTTGAAAGATGAATAATTCTTTTTATAGTTGGACATTAAATCACTGACATATTTATGATCATTTTCCTGATTATATATGAAAGTATACCTGTATAAGATATTCTTGATTGAAGGTATTTTCAAAATCAATACATAAATTCACATGAAAGAAAAAAGAATGGAATAAAATAAAGAGTCGTTCATCACGTTGAAATAACAAAGATATAAATATAATAAAACACTTGAAAATGATATATACATATACATATATAATCAGTATTTAAGGTTTCCAGTCATAAATTTACTTTTTTTGTTTGCTTTTTATCAACATACAACATCAATCATTGATTGGCAATCATTGTTGTTATCTTATAAAATAAATATTCAGTTCTTTGATTAAAAAAGATATTTTCACAGGGGTTGTTTATTTTCTGAATCAATTCTGATAAATTAATTTGGTAGTCATTACAATGTATATATATAAGGTTCTATTTATGGATTAATTGCGATATAAATGTATCTATGTAACTTGGTTGGGAATTGGTACAAACTCATAGTCAGAAATCTCAAAATTTCAGTATACATCAGTATTGAGTTAAATTAATGAATGGGTACCAATAGAAGAAAAATATATTTGACGAATAAAATAACACATGGTTTTATCGTTGTTAATAATGATAGTCATTGTACAGATCAATATCATTTATTGTACCAAATATTTTTCTTGTTGCTATTATAATCTATAACATTAATTGTAACCGATCATAAACATACTGATAAATCGATATTTAGTGAATTGATCAACTTGAAGATCTATCCTTTTTTCCAGTAATACTCATCTTTTCTGTAAAAACTCTTATTGATATCGATAAACGTCTTCTTAAGGTAGCTGTAGTAAGTATAAGTACACATGGATTTAAAACGCAACCTAATAATATTAATATAGGACCTAAATGTCCAGTTATTGATTGATAGTTATAAGTCATAATTTTATTTGCAATTAATATTTGACGTATAGACTCATATGAATGCAGTAATGCGAGTTGACCTGATAAAATTGCTGTCGTTATAACTAACTGACTTATTTTACGTCTAATATGTGAAGTTGATTCAGTTTTATGAGATATACAAGTATGGCGAGATGAATGAAATTTTCTAATAATATGTATTACCCATATATGACTGATTAACATCACTAGAACTGGTATAAAATAAGCGAACATAATCCATGAATATACCATAATATCAAGAAATAAAGTTGTTTCAACCCAAGTGAATGAAAAATCCATTTCACAATGATCACTCATATAACGACGAAGTATCGGTGCCGGCATATATAGAAATAATGACATTAAAATCATATAAGCGAAATATGTAACCGTAAATTGACATGAATGTGTTTTATATAATCTAGGGAATATAACAGAGCTCACTCGATCCACTGATATGCAAACTAAATTTTGTACACTAAATGTACATGATAACCAAAAGTAGGCATTTCTAAACCATGTATGACATATTACTAAATCAATTATGTATAATCCTGTCAGTTCATTATAACGGTCAGTACATTGAATTATATAATAGATAGCTGTAAAAAAACATGCACAAAAATCAAATATTGGTTGAGCTCTCAACATACATGTAGTTAATTTAGAGCCGAATTGAGTTTTGAAAACAATAATTATCGCTGCACTATTGAATATTGTACCAAGCAGACCTTCTATGATAACAGTAATACGTATAGGTAAATTAACAATCACATTCGGAGTCATAGTCTTGTTTCTTTTTACAAATAACAATTTGTGTTTCTTTTATTAAAATAAGAAATAAGCATTTTCGTTGAATGTACTTGTCAAGTTGTTGTAATGTGTAGAAGGAGAAAAAACAAACAATTGTTAATGTTAATAATGTTCACTTCTTTTTTTCAAATGAAAAATATCTATGTTATACTATTTTACAACCAATCGAAATGAAGTGACACATTATATTATTAAAAGTATTACAATTATTATTATCACTATTAGTATTATTATTATATCATTCAGCATTGTCTAGGCAACACCAATCTGTCAATATTTCTATAAAAACAGTGGTTCTTATCTATGTTGTAATTTCAGATAGTTTCATCAAATTATTTGGGCGTATGGAAATAATTCCTTTTTATTTATTTACTGACCTGTTTGTTTGTTTGTTTGTGAAATAAATAATAGTTACTTAGTGAAGTTAATTGGTTTGTTTATTCTCTTCTACCACTTGTCAATCTTAATTTATATATTTTTCTCATCATCGAATAATAAATTGTTACTTTTCTTGTCATAAAAAGTTTAAATTATAATTCATCAAGTAAAAAAAGAACTTTATCCAGTAAATTTTCTATTTAGATTTGGCTTATCATTTAAGTCTAAGTGATAAATACATGGTAAATGTAATTCAGTAAACAAATACCAGTTTATGCATTAAATTGTAACTAGCATTTATTGTCTATAAAAACGAAAGTCTGAAGTTTCTTAGAGATTAGTTAGTTAGATCAAAGTAGTTGATCAAAGTTTTAAACTTGAAACACTATGGTTAAAAAGTTGCATGGCTCAAATGTTTAGTTAAGCTTACAAAAATTAGATAAGTCAGTTAACTTGAAATTAATATGGTGGACGATTTGTTAGTTCAAATGTTAAATCTTAATTTCATAGACTGCTAAAGGATCAACAAAACAAATATCTAATAGTCATTATTGTTTCCATTGGTAACTACTACTATCTATTTTTAGTATTATATATTTGTATAGGTTATTTCAGTGTAGGAAACAAGTATGTTTACTACCCAGTACTTCTGTCTTTACTGGAGGACTTCGCGTTATGAATTCGCTTTTCGTAAAGTCTTCAAAAAACTATACTATTCACAATGGTTCAGACGACCAATCGATATTCAGCTTCCCATTAATTCATATATTTTAAAACCGGATTGTTATTGTTGTATATTCTGACTGATATGCTAGTAAGTTTGTTTTAAATACTGAAAAAATTTGTGGATGAGTAGAAAATTTTTAAAGGGATTACGGACTTACATAGTTATTTGGTGAAATGTGAATACCATACGTTCACTAGTCCATTTGCAAAATGTCCATCAATTGTCTTAGACTTTGTTGTTCCTTCATTTCCATACTAATCACTCTCTGTTCCCATTCTCTTCTATTCGATCTTCTCAACTTTCTGCTGCCAGGCATTCCACTTTCTATTGATGTTACATACTACTTATATCTGTCAACATAATTAGCACACACCACAACCAGATATCCACTTTCTTTGCACTTAAAAGATCGTTTACTTGATTGTAAATTAATTCTAAATGAAGTTTGACTGTATTCAACTAAGCCCTTTTAGCTTTTGATCAAATATTAGATTCTATGATATTTTCACTTGAAAATAATTTTACCACAACAGTTATCCAAATAGTAAATAAGAACTTTCGTCTAAATTTGAACGAATCGTTTCACAATATTTGGGCACCGAGTTGTTCTCTTAACATACACAGACCGAATACAATATATACTTGAATGAAATTTCTCACATCACTTACGTATACACACCATCTGTCATCTTAACAATTTTTGTTTCACACTACATGTCTCTTACACACCAATGTAAATACCTACTTCAAACATTGTTCACGTTGATTGGATGACTTATTCAGCATACAGTAAACCACAGAATCATGTACCTATTTGATAATTTTGTTGTTTGATTATATTTTCCTTGAAAAAGTTTGGATCAGATTGCCAGGTGAAACGTTGGATTTACTTCAAATGTTTTCGCTGAGATTTTACAAATACATTCGTCCGCTTTCGTTATTCAAATAGGATCAGAAAAACAAATTCTTCAAGTTACCCTAGACTAGTGAATAATAAATGATGATAAACTGGATAAAACTCAGAATTAGTAGAAGGCATATTATTAGTGTGGAACTTTTTTAACATTTACGTCTTATAAAGTTCAAATGGACGATATATTCTGAGTATATGATGTGTCATTTATACAGCAACTGACCAAGAGAAGTAATTTTTACAACTAATAAATTACTGAGTTATAACATACGTCAATTTCTTTCGTCAATTAATTATCAGTATGGGTTGTGAAGATTATGCAGTTTTTGATTGAGACCCTGTATTAGTTCCATTGTTTCTTTTTCCAGGAATTGAGTCTAGTACAGTTGTCTTGCTTAAGTGCCCTTCAAACACTAACGACACGTTACAAATTGTTTTTAATGTTTCCAACATGAAAACTTTACACATTATTTAATATTCCGATAGAAACGAGAATTATGAGCCAAAAAGTTGTAAGATATTGATTTTTCACACTTCATCTATATATTTTTCAGTTCATGCAGTGATAAAAATGGAATCTAGAACAAAGTACTGAAGAATAAGTTGTCAATATTGAGAATTGAACATTGCTCTGACAATTACAACAACATCAGGAAGTTCAGTGGTACTACTGTTCAAGGAAAAACAACCGCTTGTTCCAAAGACTTCTATCAGTTTATGTCACGATATTAGTATAAAAGATATGGGGAGATTATTTTGTTAATAGTTCGTATCAAGTACCACATATATCTAGAAACTAACAAAAACCCAGAAAGTTCTACACAACTTCTTCGTGTTCGTATGGGACTCGTCAATAGTTCACATTAATGATCTTTAGGTCACGCTATGATATATATAATACATCCAATAATGAACTAAGAATTTCAGTCGATTGTTTATATTAATCTTATTTATTATAAATCATAAAGTAGATAATAACGAAATCTATTGTTGGCATTATACTTTTGCATTTGTTCAATTCGTTGTTCTTAACCTTTATTGTAATATATCTGCGTATAGTATTGAGATATTTTATTGCACAAGAAACTTGTTAGGTACATTACTTTCAGTTATCTTTCCGTTTATTTGATGATTGCGCACTGAGTATTTGTGTGTAATATTTATATTAAAAATTTCATTTCAATCATCCAAAGTTATCCGTACTTGTTTGTTATAAACATGTCAATGTAATGAACTAAAACATGTAAGTTATGATAAATACAAGCCTATTAAAAATTAGGGCTAGAAATAAAATATTTGAATGAAAATTACACTGTAACTTGGCAGCATTTATCTATTAAATAAATGAGAAAATGGGCGAAACTGATGAATCCAACATATTGCTTAAACATTGAATATATAATGAATAATTTTATCGTGTATAAACAATAGAGAATTTCTAAAGAAATGTATTGATGATAATGATAATAAAAAATGAATGATTGAAAAAATAATTAAATTAATTTAGTATCTAATCAATAAGAGATTTGTTGACCGAACGTTGTGATACTTTGAGTTTTTTTAGCAAAGAAATATTAATTTTATGGCAACAATTAACATGTATTTCAACAGTATATAAATTAAAATGTCAAAACACTTCAGTTAAACTTAAACTTTATAGTCAATTGAAGCTAGACTACCATGAAAAACCTGGAAGCACTGGACGGCCGTTTAGTCCTAGAATGGGACTTCTCAGCAGTGAGCATCCATGATCCCGCCTTACGAGATCTAAACCCAGGACCTATATACGTAAATGTTTTGAGTATACAACTTGATGAAAACATTTTTAATCGCTGAAAAGTTCTCACCATTCTAAAATACAGATATATGAACGAAGAATATTCTTTCCAATAAGTTCTCGTCAGGTTCTACAGTTATATACCCAAATTAGTAGTCCAAAATAATTGATCAGATTTAAAGCATAATACATCATTTAAATTTATAGCCTGTAAATTCAGGATCGTTAAGTAGTATAAAATAAAACTGTGAATGTTGGGAATGATTAATATAAAGTGCTGACTTGAATAAATTATATGTTAAATGAAATGGTGAGATTAATGGTTTCCTGCAGGACGTCCCATCTAATATTAATGTTAGAAAATTGGAATCCAAAGTCCAATCTACTAAAGCTTCTTAAAATGAATGTCATAAACAAAGAGGAGTTTAATGTACTAAAACCTTCGGGTTCTGTTCTCCCGAATTTATATGGATTACCTGAAATTCATAAACATAATAATCCATTACGACCAATGTTATCTATGCGTGGTTTTCCTACACATGAACTAGCTAAATGGTTAGTAAAATTGTTAAATCCAATCCATACTAAACTATATAAGTTTTCCTTAAAAGATACATGTGAATTAATTGATCTTCTTGAGGACACTAATATTAAAGATAAGAATTTCCATTCCTTTGATGTAAACTCTGTTTTCACGAATGCACTGTTAACTAATACCTTTTATTTACTTTGTGACTATATATATACCAATTTTCCCCATTTTCCGATCCGGTCATCATTGTTGAAAGAATTACTTTTATTATGCACTGCAAATGTTCACTTCACGTTTGATGGCGAATATTTTCGACAAGTTGATAGTGTTGCTATGAGTAGCTATGAGTGAGATCATTAGCGGGGCAACTTTGTATCAAAGATAAATGGATAATATACTAGTTATGTGTGGTAAAGACTTTGAGGTTTCTTGGTTATTAGATAAACTCGATGGGGTTCAACACGATATCGTGATGACTTATGAAACAGAAAATAATGGCCTATTGCCCTTTTTAGACATACTTTTGAGTCGAAGGGAGGATGGTACTATAAGACGGTCAGTTTATAGGAAATCAACTTCGACGGGGCAGTACTTAAATTTCCATAGTTTCTGTCCATTACAATAAAAACGAGGCTTGATTAAGTGTCACTTTAATAGGATTCGAAAAATTTGCACCACTGACACGGTGGAAAAAGAGGAAAAGTTGCTGACTGACACATTAATATCAAATGATTATCCACTAAAGTTTATTAATAGTTGCAAAAGTCAGTTAACGCCGAGACCTCTCGTTTATTTGGTTCCAAAGAAAAACGTTTATATCCATCTACTATATAGAGGTGAATCCAATAGTATAGTTTTAAGACAGGGATTGAAAGCAACCATCGGGAAAACCTATTATGCTGCTCAATTGGTTGTGATTGAAAAGTCTAAGCCCATGATTCCAAATAGACCTAGATAATGCACAAATGATTACGTCACATCCTATTGCATTTACCAACTTACATGTTTGTGTGGACATATACATAGATAGGAGTAATCGAACAATGCAATCAAGAGTCACTGAACATGTGTGTATATGACTTCAAGACCAATTAGCGTCAAATGATTCGGTCAACGTGGGAGGTAGAAAACCATGTTCATTAATAACGAAACATATAATTGAAACTGGGCACTAAACCGACATTAATACATCTTTTATAACGTTGTATAGAAATTGTCAAGGACGAATTCTCAGGTTTATTGAAGCTTTGGTTATTCGTAAATTTAAACCCCTCTTATGTGTACACAGACAATTTGTCGTAACCTTGAATTTACCCTGGTAATTCTTAAGTCATTCTATGGCCTAGGATAACGCGACAATTTCTTATTATTTCTATACTATGTAAAATGTTTCTTTCCTCTTTGTTACCTTTTTTACTTGAACTTTCATTTAATTGACCTTTATTAATTTTCATATAAAATGCCCTGACAAATCAATAATAACGAAAACTATTATTATTCGAAGATATGTGAATAAATTTTTTATTTCATTTATTTATTTAAACACAAACATTGGTACAAGAACGCACCAAATAGATATGCGCAACATAAATCATTCGATTCATGTGAGAGCTGGGATACTGCCCGGGTGCCCAGACCGAAATAAGTGGTTTTCTTAGGAGGCCAAACCCCGAGCCCATGACCTGAAGGTCTAATCCACAAGGCAGTGGAGCATCGTAAGGAGCTGTAGTCCCATGGTAGCCGGTGACCAACGATTGGTTCATATGCCATTTGTTCCCTCAGGATACTGGAGCCCATGTGCACCATTGGTTCGGAATCAGGGTTTTCGAACTCCCCTAAGTGGGTCCTCCATACCCACCAACCCGGTTAAAGCGCCGGACACTCGCCTTTCGTTCTTTCGATTTCGTAAACAACACCTCCGCCACGAGAAGGCAGTGAGTAGGACTTCCCTGAGAGTGGTTATATGCACGTGGCCATATGAGGGCATTTCGAGAGGGAGAGCTGACTCTTCCCACTCTCTGCTGTACCAGGGCATTTGGGGGCTGT